GAGAGAGAGAGAGAGAGAGAGAGAGAGAGGGAGAGGGAGGGAGAACACATGGCCGGCAAGCCACTCCCACAAAGGAGGCCACACCCACAGAGTAGGTTCCACAAATTTTTGAAACCCACCACTGGTACTCTCTTAGTTTTTTATTGTTGTTGACTTGCAGAAGTTTTATTACTCAAGTAGGTAGCGTCATCCTTTGTGTATAATGTAATCTAAGATCAGAGACTACCAGGGACTTTATAGTTCAACCCTGAACTACAGATTTTTTTTCTACTATGTTTCTAGACTAAAATAAGCACTTGGGCTTATTTTCAAGGCGGTCTTTTTTTGAGTTGTAGCAGGCCAGACACAGTGAGCTGGACACAACGTGGATGCACTGTCATCTCCATTCCAAACCTTCAGCATTCGAAATTGAGGCTTTTTGATGAACGGGAGGAATGGGGAGGGGGAATTTTCCTGCCTGCCATCCTTCCCTCACTCTGTGCTGAGCTTGAGGAATGGATGACAGGCAGGAAAATGCCCCCTCCTCATTTTCCTCCTGTTTGCCAAAAAGCCTCCTGCGAGCCTCCCAAAAAGAGAAAAAAAGCAAAGCAACTGGCCATGGAGCTGCTCACCCAACAAGCAGAAGCGCTGTGCCCAGAAAGAGAAGGGCAAAAGTTTTATTGGCGCTTCCCCAAGAGGCCAGCGAGCTGCAGCCGGACCGTTTTCCTCCCTTTGCTCCACCACTCGTGCTGGCCATGCCCATCCCCCAGGCTTATTTTTGGATTAGGAGTAATATTAGCGCCCCCCCAAAAACTAGAGTTGTTGTTGGGGTGGGTCGTGTTTTCAGAGAAGCACGGTACTATAAATTAATCACTGAAGCTGAACTGTATTTTAACAGGAAGTGATAATATTACTTGCACTTTAACCAGAAAAATCCCCTCCAAGGCTACTAAAAATTGTTTTAAAAATGTTGTTCTCCAAGAAAATAATTTGAAAGATATTTTACCTCCAAACAGATATTTTTCTCCTGTCAAAACTTTCAGAGGACTGTTACTCCGAACAGAAGAAGATTCATCACCATCAATGGTGAGAACTGCAAAATTTTCTTTAGCTAAGAATCGAACCTCGTGCCATTGTCCATCAGAGAGTCCTGCACCTAGAAACACAAAGGAGTAGTGGGTGAGGGAGGAAAGAAAGTGATTTATTTAGTTTGTTATTTTGGGGCTATAGTATATTATTTTTAATATATTAGATGATGTGATAAAGATTTTACACTATATTCAGAAACTACTGAATCACATGTAATTATACATATAATGTATTCATTTATTATGGAAAATTTAATGTGCGCAATATATACTACTATAATAATTCAAAATTCATTTCTTTCTCTATATCTACAAATCTATGATCAACCTAAATCAGAGTGCTTTATTCTCTCTCCATCCTCCTTCCTTCTTTTTCCCTCCCCTCCCTTTCCCTCTCCTCTCCTCTCCTCTCCCCCCCTCATCTAGGATTTTAAGACATTATATGAACTTCCCGCATTGTAACCTCACAGCAGTCATTGCTTCTATGAAAATGGGTGTTGGCTTACCTGGTACACCCTTTCTCTGAGAAGGTGGAGACAACATCCATGCGTGAGTTATCCTCATGTGCCATCCAATAGAACTGAGTCTGCAAAGTTTAAGTCCCACATCTTCCTGCTGCCATACCCAGCTTTTTTGACAAAGACTATCATGCAGACAGACATGCGACTAATGGAACAATCTCTCCCATTATCCCAGTCCAGACCAGTAAGGGTGGTGTTGGATTATGTCTCCACCTTCCCAGAGAAAGGGCCTAACAGGTAAGCCAACACCCATTCTCCTATGTTGGTGGAGACAGCATCCATGCGTGGGACATACCAGAACCTGTCCAAGTATTACAGGTGGGATACTGTCCGGGACATGACCCTCTGACTAACGCTAATCTGCTGTAAGACTCTCCTCCCAAAGGCCGCATCAGCCGATGTGTATCTGTCAATCCGGTAGTGATAGAGGCCTTTGGGACGATGAACAGTAGGGAGTAGAACCCTTGTCCCTTTTGCCCCTCTAGAACCAACTGAATGGCCTGGATGCCCAAGAGGTACTGAATGGCCTGATCTACTACGGACCTCCTTTCTCTATTCCATGGCTGGGATCCTGTCCCATAGCTTTTGGAGCTACAGGAGGGCAGTCCTATTAAAAAAGGATGACGCAGTCAACACCCTAATCACCCAGGCAGCTGACTGGTGACCCTTAATGAGGACATGTTCCAACCTCTTCTCCGCCTTTAAGATATTGTCCAGATTGTTCGGATCTATATTGGGGGAGGACAGCGCTGCTACAAGAGTGTCCATCAAAGGGATCTCCAATGCCTTGGCTAAATCAGGCCCTATATTGCAGAAGCGCTTGTCCTGGGCTAATGGAAATGGGCTTGAACCCGGGGACTTCCATTGACATTGAACTACGCCCAGAAACAGAGGAGGAGAGGGGAGGAAACCAACCCTTTCTGAATTGTGGGTTCAGTGAAAACAAGACCCGCCGAGTGCCTGGCCATACCTGAAGGAGATTTAGTGCCTTGGGCCGCTTCGAGATTATATATCTTCTGGGCCTTTAACAATAGAGACCTGAACATAGATGGTTTGAAAAGTCCAGCAATGTTGTCTGATATAGATCCGATTCCTCGTCCTCAGAGAATTCGGAGTCCCTTTGGGGATCCTCCTCCTCCTCCCCTCGAGGAGGAAGAGCTATCCAAAGATCCTTCTGGTCGCTCTTTGGGAACAGGAGGCTCTCTGGCCTGCTCTCTAGCAGCTGACTTCTTGTTTCACCTGTTTCGGGTTTTTTGGAACTAGAGAAAGCCTTTTCCTGCAGAACTGCCACAATTCCCTGCCTCAGATATTATAGCCACAATATCAGGAGGGTAAAAACTTCTACAAAGGCTGGCAGTGTCCTTTGCCCCGGGGGAGATGGCAGAAACTTCTGGTCCCGGACTGCCCATCCCTTCTGGGATAGAGAGCTGTTGGGCCTCTTCCATATCTTGGTCTCCTATCTCAGACCCTTTGCTGTCTGGTTATAGATCCCCTTCTAAGCAGGGGATCCTGGCTTGGGCAGGACTCTTGGAAGAAGGGGGATCTTCCACTACCTGAGTCAAGGCCACAGATCACCTCTCTGCCTCTTTTTGGGCTTTGGTGAACTGCCTGTCTACGCCTTTTGCCTCCTGAGTTCTGCTCTCTCTGTGGTCTTTGACTTTCCTTTGGCTTTCCCCCTGTTTTTTTGAGGGGGGGGGAGACTTCCATCTACTGGCAAGGAGAAGGATGGATGGCCCTTCAAGAGGGTCATCCAATAATGGGGATGAGACCTCTTTATCACCTCCTTCCATATTAAAAGCCAGTTATGAGGGCCGGTAGGACAGTTACATTCCCTCAGCCACTGAGGGAAAAATATTATATGGATGTGGTTGGCCCAATTAAAGGGCATACCAGAGCCTGGGTTCTGGGCAGTTGGAGAGCAGATTGTATATTCTCACATATAAGCATGCCTGGGCCTCCCTTCTCAGCCCGCTACAGGAGACCCGCTGGGCCCCTGTGCTAAAAGCCTCATTTGGTGACAAGATGGAGGCTTGGGCTGGGCTGTATTTCTAGCTCTCCTGAGGGGAATCCACTAATCCAGCGATGGTGAACCTTTTTTGGCTCATGTGCCATAAGGGGGGAGCGCAGAGGGGTCATGTGTGGGCGTGCCATACCCATAATGCAACATGCGATCCTCCCCCCCAGTGCACATGCGCTCATGAGAGGTGCTCCCCCATTATTTGCCTGCTTTTTCCATCCTCCCCAGGTTCCAGAGGCTTTATAGGAGTCCGGGGAGGGTGAAAACAGCCTTCCCCGCCTCAGGGTGGGGGGTGGGGGAAGCTCTTTTCACTCTCCCCAGGCTCCTATAAAGCCTCTGGAGCTTGGGGAGGGCGAAAAATGGCTGAACACAGCTGGCCAGTGCGCACATGCGCACTGGCTAGCTGACAGGGCAACGCCTCATGTGCCCGGACAAATGGCTCTGCATGCCACCTGTGGCATGCATGCCATAGGTTCGCCATCCCGGCCCTAATCTGTCTCTCCCTGTGGTGATTTCCTGTCACTGTGGTGGTCTAGGGAAATAGCTGCTGCCAAAATGGGCCATTTGAAATTTGCCTGCAGCCTTGTGTGATCTAAAATGTCGGCTGCCACACCCTGCTGAACCAAAATGGTGGCCACTGTTTTTGCACCCTTTAAGCAAGGTTCTGGGCACTCCAATTGCTAAAAACCCACTCTCCCAACTAACCATGACTGGCCGACCCTGCGCTGGACTCACTAGGGCAATCTGCAGTCGCAGATGCCCTCCAGAGGTTGATCTGCGATTGCTGTTGGAGCCAGTGTCGTGCAGCACTGCTCCACGAGGAGCTGAACTTCCAAAGGGAAGGTGAAAGGAAAACACAAAGGGGAACGGAGGAAAAACTAATAGCAGTAAAAAGAGGAGGAGGTAAGGGAAAGTAAAGGCTTAGAACAGAGGAAAAATCCAATAATTAACTATTTGTCTAAGAGAGATCATTTGCACATCTAGTCCTGTTGGCAACTGAGTCACAAAAGCTGGGTATGGCAGCAAGAAGGGGTGGGATTTAAACTTTGCAGACTCAGTTCTATTGGATGGCAAATGAAGATAACCCATGCATGGATGCTGTCTCCACCAACATAGGAGAATGTAAAATCTGCAAGTATTTCTCATTATTAATTGTAGTTACATGTTGTCACAGACTTCTAATAAAATCGATGAAACTAAGGAACATGTATCAGATATAAATTTACATTCAAAAGGCTTCCTATCCTATTTTTTTTCTTTTATAATTGCATATTTCCTACATTTATTACTGTATGCATTAGGTTATAAATTTTTTAACTTGCTTATTTAAACTACATGCAATCACAAACCTCTTGTGACTCATAAGAACTCTACTTTCATGTGCAAATTAGATATGCTAATGAAACATATTCTTGCTAGAATTTCTTTTAAATGACATTACTTTAAAATTTGGACTCTTGAGATTGTCACTTTGATTGAACAAGAAGAAACAGATGTTTCTCTTATAAGAAACATGGAGGAAAATGATTTAAGAAAGGTTGTTTTTTTGCAAGATCTTAGGATCTAGTGAGAAATAGCAAAAGATGCAATTTACAAATTATTTTTGAACAATATTTCAGCAACTAATTTCCATATGTCTCTTTCAGGTCTCAGTTTACGTTTCCTTCAGAAGGTATTTCGGCAAACCCAAATATGATTGATATCATTTTTATTCCCTTACCTTTGCTAATCTATCCTAACTATATTCCTCCCCCTTTGTATCTCTCTGTTGTATATATACTTATATACTTAATATTTTCTTTTCTGTTTTCCCCTTCTTCCCCCGCCCTTCCATTTAACAGTGCATTGCCTGGGTTCTATATCTTCTTCCTACTTTCTTTTCTAGTTTCCTTTCTCTAGCCAATCATAAAATCTTCCCCATGTTTTGAAGTACTCCGATTCCTCTTTATCCTTTATTTTCATTGTCAACCTATTCAGCTCTGTACAATCTAATATCTTTTTTACTATCTCTTCATCTGTTTGTAGCTTATTTAGTTTTCAATTTTGGGCTGCTGTAGTTACATGTATAATCAAATAGGTATTCTCTTTCTTGAATTTCTCTGGGATAATAGCTATAAAAATATCTCTGGTCTAAATTCTATTTCTTGTTGCAACATTTTCTTCAACCATACTCTTATTTTAGTCCAAAATTTCCTTGCTTCTGCACATGTCCACCGCATATGATAATAGGAACCTATTGCTTGTTAATACTTCCAACATTTCACTGATTTGTCATCTTTGCTAATTTTTCTGGTGATATGTGCCATCTATAAAATATTTTGTATAAGTTTTCTTTGTAAGCTGTTGACATGGTTAATTTATAGTTCCTTTCCCATTGTTGTTGCCACATTTCTAACTCAATCGTGTGACCAAAATTCCTTGCCCAGTTTACCATTGTATCTTTCACCACTTCTTCTAACCTAGTTCATAGTAGGTAGCTATATAGTTTCTTAATTATTTTTTCTTCCATTCCCATAAGTATCTTATCCAA